AAAACAGGTGGTGGGATGGAAGAACAGAAAAAGAGGGGAGAATTGTTTGATGGAGAAAATAGAGAAAACATAGAATATGTGAAGCAGGTTCAAAGAGATTACCAGGAAACTAAAAACTCTATTGAAAGCTGGCATAACAGCTTGAAAGAAACTAAGGATAGATTATCTGAAATGAGAACACATTTGTAATGTGGGAGAATCAAATGAAAAGCTTCTTAAAAATAACAAGGAAACAAGCAGTAACAGTACAAAGGCTAGAAGATGATAAGAGGATCTATAACTTAAGAATTAAGAACATAAAAGAAGAAGTAGGGACACAAACAAATGGACTACAAAAGCTATTCACAGAAATAATCCAAGAGAATTTCCCTAATTTAGCAAAAGGTAAAGATACTCAGATGTATGAGGCATACAGGACCCCAGCCACCTACAACCCAAACAGAGCTACACCCAGACATATAATAATCAAAATTCCAGAAATCCAATATAAGAACAGAATATTAAAAGCTGTCAGAGACGAGAAATAGATCACTTACAAGGGAACACCCATCAGAATTACAGACTTCTCGGCACAAACCATCAAATCACGAAGAGCATGGGGGAAATAATTCAAGCTTTGAAAGATAATAGCCTGCAGCCAAGATTGATATATCCTGCACAACTGTCCCTGGAAATTGATGGAAAAACAAGGTGCTTCCAGGATAAAGAGGAACTAGGGGAATTTGCAACCACAAATTCAACTCTACAGAGAATAGTGCAGGATATTCTAAAAAAGGAAAATACCAACATTCCAGAAATAGTGGCACAGAGGCCACAATGAATGGAGCAGAAAGAGAAATGAAGAAGACAAACTGACAACAAACGACAGAAAAAGAGCTCAACAGAAATGAGGCAGAGAAGGTTGGATGGTAGGAACAGCCATTTTGGAGAAAACAAGACATCATAATAGCTAGTGCTGATTTAGTATCATCTTGTTTTGAAGTCCCATCAAGCTTTTATTCTTCTGTCTTAACAGGTTGTATCTTACTGGATTTTATTATATGTGATAATATAAGCAAAAACTTTTGTAGACAAGATTATACAGAAACCATTGTTCATTTTCTGTTAGTTGGTTCTAAATACCCCATAATAATGTCATTCTCTTGAATGGTTTTACATTGTCTGGATATGTTTGGTGCTACAGTATATGAAGTTATACTCAAAGATTTCAAGGAAAGAGACAATATGGTAACTATTTTTATGTCGGGTATCTTGTGGTGAAACACTATTTTGCTTAAATGGTTATGTTTTGACCTGCGCTGTTTTGCTGTTATGCCCTCTTTTATCTTCATCTCCTTTTCTTACTTACTTTTTTATCTTTATTTTTAATTAAGGGAAGAATAAATAAAAAATAGCAGGATACATTAACCTACTTTGATTTTCTATTACCTTGACTTGAAACCCTGTATTGCCCTCACCATCTTTTGACTGATTTTCCCCTATTCTACTTAGCTTGATAGTACCAAGTTCAAAAGTATAGGCAACAACTGTGAAGACAATAAGATTCATTATGACGCCCATTCTGGTTAACTATTAACTTCTTTTAAAGTCCTGTAATGTCTCCAATGTTTTGGTTTTATTTACTGTTTTGTTCAATTTTATTATAACTGATGATATAGGCAATTCTTCTTAAGATAGCAAGAGGCAGTATGGTAACCATTGTTGATCATCTTGTATTTTGTTTTTACATTATGTCCATCCTTTTGATTTGACTGACTCTGTTCTAGTATGTTGCATTTGGTTTTACTCTCTTAAAAGAAATAAGAACCGTGGGAGTAATAAACCCAAAATGTGTAATTGTCATTGTACAAAAGAAAAGAAAGTGCTCTAAAGGTTTTAACTGCATGTGTCTAAGATAACCATATTACTGAGTTTTGTTGGATCATTGAACAAAACTGTTTGCAGTCTCACTGTTTGAAAGTCCACTTTATACGCTTTAATTTTGTAACTTGAACTGTTTCTAAGATGAGAATATGTAATCTATTAGTGATTTTATTATTTTTAAATTTTGTATTACTTGTACCCTTTTTTTTTTCTCCTTAAATACAATTTTTTTTAAAAAAATATTGTTCTTTCTACAGTGTGGTTGTTCTCTGGTGCCAAGGGTTGAGCCCATATATGCTAGGCAGGTGTTGTACCATTAAGCTACATCCCAATCTTTAATTCAATTCTAACAGTAGCAGACAGTTATTTGGGTTTTCAATAAATAGAGTCAAAAGATTTCCTTAAGTATCTCAGGAAGTTTCTTCAAGTCATTAGAATACTCCTATAAAAAAGCAGGATCTGGGCTGGGGATTTAGCTCAGCAGCATAAGCACCTGCCTTGCAAGCACTTTGTCAGGAGTTTGATCCCTGGTACTAAATAAAGCAGGATCTGTATCAAAAATCTAAACTTACTTTACCTGAATACCTTCGTAATTGTCAGTCAAAATAATTTATCCTGAGCTATTTTAAATATTTTAAAAGCAAATTATATCTTTATTATGTTAAATTGCATTAATGTATTGTCTTAGTCACTTCCTCATTCTGAGAAAAAATACTCAACACCTGCAAGTTAAAAAAGGAAAAGTTTATTTTTTAGTTCACAGTTTGTAGAGGTTTCAGTCCAGTCAACAGGCTCCAAGGCAGAGGATCAGGGCAAAGAATAGTTCATGGCAGGGCATGCAGCAGCAGCAAAGCAGCAACAGTGAGCCTTCCTTTCCCTTTTATTTCATCCAGCCTACTAGTCTATTGGTTGAGGCCACCCATACCCAGGGTGGACCTTCCGTTCCCACATCCAGAAAAATGCTAAACCAGTCAGTGGGTTAATTTAGTTATCACACACCTGTTATCCATACTCACAATCTTAGATCTAGGCACCTCTGAAAAGCCTCACTTACGAGTGCATGAAACTTCGGGACGACATTTAGATATAAGCCATAACATGTATTATCTCTCATTCTTAACAGTTTTTGCTGAGAATATGAAATGTACTAAGCATGTTGTAAAACAGATTTCTGAACTTTAAAGGTTGATGGCATGTTCTTAATGCCATCTACCTGTCCCCCTCAGCTCCTGATAACCATTACTCTATTCTACCTCTGTGAGCTCAATATGAGGCTACATTGAGATCATAAAGTACTGGTTAGTTTCACTTAATATCCTTCAAGGACATCCCTGTTGTTACAAATAACAAAATTTTGTTCTTTTCAAAGGCTGAAAATATCTTTTTTGTACCCATTCATTTGTTGTATGGGTACATATCTTGGCAGTTGTACTATTTCACTAAATATGAGTTCACTGATTTCTTTGCCATGATTTTGTATCCCTTGGCTACCTAGTAGTGGAACTGCTAGACTATGTGGCAATTCTAGTTTTTGTTCTTCAGCCCTAGAAAGTGAACCCAAGGCCTTGCACATGACAGCCCTGTGCTCAGCCAGTGACCTATATCCCCAAATGTTTTTAAACTTTGAGATAGAGCGCTGGGGATTTAGCTCAGTGGCATAAGCGCCTGCCTGGCAAGTGTGAGGTTATGAGTTCAAACCCCAGTACCAAAAAAAAAAAAAAAAAAAAAACCTTTGATATAAAGTCTTGTTTAAATTGTACAAAATAACTCTAAACTTGCAATTCTCCTGCTTTGGCCTCTGAAAGTAGCTGGGATTATAAGCATGCACCGCTGCACTTTTCATTTTTTGCAGACCCTCCGTAAGACTTTCCTTAATGGCTGAACTAATTTACTTTCCTACTTTGTTTGAGGCACATTGCCATGAGCTAGAGGGCCAGCCTGGGCTACATAGTGAGCTGAAGGTCTGCCTGAACTACATAATAAGACCCTGTCTCAAAAACATAAAAAAAAAAAAAATTCCCTGCCAGGAATTTTACAGTGTACACCTGTAATCTCATCATTGAGGAGGCTGCAGAGGATCCCCAAAAGTTTTAACAGCCTACTGAGGCCCTGTCCAAAAACGAAACAAAACACATTCATTGCTCCCACTGCTACAGCATTATTCAGATGATGCTGTTCTACAAAATTTCACAATTTCCCACATTTTATGCATCTCCCCAGTCTCATTTGAAGTGAGGGACTGCTCTGCCTTTTACTCCTTTTTCTCCGCAGACAACCTCCCCTCTATAGCTTCTTGATGCTGGGAGATGATTATCCATGATCTGGCAAAGAAAGGAGCAGGAGTGGGGAGGGGAAGAGAGACAGGAGAGGAGGGAAGAGAGGGAAGGAGGGAATGAGAAAAAAAAACCATTGGCTCAGTTGTGACCTGTACTACTCATGTTGTAAGATATTGTTCATTTATCAAGTTAAAATTTATGAAGAATGTTTACTCATCTTGCACAACACTCACAGAACAAGTTACAACCCAAGGTCTTACTGTAGTTGCATCCTACATATGACCATTAAATTTCACTTATAAAATATATAGCAGTGTAATACATGTGGATATGTAGATAATCATTACCACACTGATTAAAGTCACATTTATTTAAGAATGAAGTTAATATACCCAACGGGGAGATTACAAATACTGGAAGATTCCCAAGAATCATAAGCTGTACTTTTAGAACCTTGACATAATTTTAATAAACATATAATTTTATATTAACTATGGCCATGTTATGCACTTGACCCAAAGGTATGAATTTCTGTATTAGGGGATGTTCAACTTAGTATTTTTCCTTTTTATCTACAGAATACTGTTTACTTTATAGTAATAGTTTCCAATTCAGTTAAGGCACTAGGTAGTCCAAATAAATTTCATTCAAGAAAAACAGCATGAAAAATCACCAAAATTATTTCACATTTATATATAACCAAGATTTTGAACAGCTTTAAAAAATTTTAATTCTGAAAAATAACACATCTTGGGTTCTATTTGTATGTAAACTCCATAAAAAAAGAGAGTATCTGTTCACCACTAACACTGTGCAGAACAATGCCTGGTATGTAGTAGGCACTCATCAAATACTCAGTAATGAGGCAAAATATGCATAATATCTTTATTATCTTAGCACAACGCAGAAAACAAGTTGCAAAATATTTTTTATTGTAAAAAGAGTCACCAGAGATTGACAATCCACATGTTATCTCAGAACATTTCCCTTAGTTTCTGAATTTGCTAGGTTCCTCTGTACCAGCAAGTCTCCATTCGCGTTCTCAGGTTTTATGGAACTTTTCAGATGTTGATTGACTATATGTATATATTGCTTAGAAACAAAAAACCCACCTATTAGAACCAGCCAAAACCAAACAGCAACTACAGTAAAATAAAATAAAATAACCCTTAGTTTCTGTTGTGCTTTTCTTTCACATTTTCCACAAAGAGATCTGTATACCTCAGGTGCTTTCAAATTTAACAGTAAAGTAAAATTAGTGCCTTAATCAAACAGAAAGATTCCAAAGAATTTCCCATTATTGAATCAAACCTCATGATATTTGCAGAATAATCAGATTTTTAATTTAGAAGTTAAAAAAATTAGAACTTACTTTAGACTGATTTTCCATATTTGAAAAACTAGTTATTTGCAGCATACAAATGGAACCAGTAGTGCAAAATGCATCAAGTTTTACATGATAAACACTTTCAACCTAATGGCTGCCTCAGAAGCAAAAAGTGAAAATTACATCTCAAAAGCAATCTAGACTTAGAAGTATCAAATGCTACTCTATCTCCACAGATTGCAAAATGATTTCAGAAACACATAAAACATACAACTGTTTTACAAAAATAGAAATTGGTCTTTACAAAATTTTAAAAAATATAACACTATTTGCAAATTCAAGCTAGTTTCACACTGAACTGGACAACACTTCCTCAGATATGAATTCTAATCAAATTTTACGTGGTTTGCCTTCACTACTCTTACATATTTCTTTCGAATCTTCAAGACTAAGTAATCAGTACTCTATCATGGAATTTTTAAGAGATTCACTGTCAAAGGTCTCATGAGATTTTTCATTCTAGAAATAAAGTGGGTGAATTTTTATCTAAAAATATCTTATTAAAAGTAGAAACTAATGTAATACGACATTTCTAAATAATTGATAATATATCAAATTTCTAGAAAGTATAATTTGGCAATTACCATTTGGTACTTATAAAACATAAATATAATCACAACAATTTTATGGAAAAATTGTTCATGTAAGGATACCTTCTAAATTTAGTGATTTATATGTCAGATCAAAAGTACTCCTAATTATACCCATTCATAAACACTCATTTTTTTACTTCAAAGAGCACCAATGTTGTTTCTTAAACCAAAAACTGAGACAGTAAGGACTTATATTTCATGTAACAGTGCTATTACAGTAAGGCACCACTTGGCATAAGAAAAAGTGAAAAAGTATTTCCAAATCATGTACAGTATTTTTGTCACTTGCATCATAATCATTAAGATGATTAGAAAAAAGTTAATATTATTAATTATTCATGTTATACTCCTGTTCCCATCTTTCTGGGCTTTTAGTTTTTGCATATAACTGAAATAAAAATAGTAATGTGGTATAGAATCTAGTAAATAAACATTTTTTCCTAACTCTCCAAGAAAACAATCTAGAAACAAACAAGAACAAGAAACCAAAACTGTATCTATTTGCAAACAGTCTATCCCTGAAGAAGAGTATAGGGGAGCGGAGAAGGAGGGAGGACCTACTTTCTACGGATTACATTTGAGGCACACAGATTGAAAGTTTCTCAGGCAAAGTCATGGCTAGAGTGAAATTGAGCACTCTGAATTTTACATTTTCCCTAAAACTGATTTCTCACAGTCACACAGTCACACCTGATTAAATATTTCAAAATGTGTCTTTAGTCACTGCTGTCATCATCATCGTCGTCAGATACATTATTTAAAGGCGACTTCAATGACTGGCTGTAAGAGTCTGATCTGGCAGGCTGGCACGTGGCCATGTCCCCAGTGGAAAGCAGGTCATAGCAGAAGTCACAAATCCGCACAGGCTTAGAGGACTGGCTAGGAAGAAGAAATCTTTTTTCAGAGCAGGGCCCGCAAACGACAAAACCACATTTGCGGCAATGGTGACGACGATTAACAGGTGTGAATTTAGCTTTCTGACAACGCATACATACAGTTGCCTCAGAGTCAGGAACCCAGACAGCAGCATGTTCATTAATGGGTGTCTTCCCACTTTTCGAGAGTAAATCAGTAACACATTTATTTATATGATTCATCCACTCTGATTTTTCAGTGGCAGTGGCAGCATAGACTGCAAATGATTTAGTTGGTGTCTTAATAAGCCATCCATTCCTTAAATCTCCCTCATCTTTGATGGAATCAATAGTAACATTTTCCAGAGGAATAATATGTTGTTTGTTGTATTTCTTCTTCTGGATGACAATATTGCCATACACAAGAATATCATTAAATAAGAAAAACTGCCTTGCTTTGGGCTTCTTTCTGCACAATTTAGTCAAGACTCCTTCTCCAATAAGAACTCGTCCAGGTATAGTTAAAGGTTGACCAGCTGCTCCAAAACAATTTTCCACTATACCTATACGTCTAGTGTTTGCTTCACTGTTGGCCAAGCGATCCACCATCTTTCACTAATAGCCTTAAAAAAAAAAAAAAAAGAAAATGAAATTAACACACAGAAATTATAAATTACACAACCTAACAAAGCATTGATTTTCACCAAGTCAAATGCTGTAATAGTCCTTCCCTCTAAGATAATTAAGCACACCAAAAGGGTTAACAATTTTTAATTTTTATAATCATCAAAAGACTTACTAACCATCTAAAAGTAACACACTATTTATAAAAGTATAACTTTTTACAGATATAAAAGAGTGAAAAAAAGCTGGACAATTAATGCCAACTGTGTGAAATAATAAACTCAGTTCTATAAAATTTAATCTTACCATGACCCTGAATTTTACCAAATATTTCACAAAGTAAGAAAATATTAGCCAAATATTACACAAAGTAAGAAAATCACTACCATTTTCTCAATAAAGTATTCCTATTGAGCTAAGCTCTTAATTCTCTCATTTTGATTACCAGATTGTTTCCCAACGTGTCTCTTTGCTTTTTTGCCTCGGAACGAATCCTTAAGCAATAATCTCTAAATGGCTAATGTGGCCCTGACATTGCTCAAAATGATTCCCCTTAACCTTTAAAATAAAGGCTCTGTAGCATGGTATTCAAAGTCATTCATTACTCAGTTCCTGCTTAACTACCTAGCTTTCCTGTCACTCCTTATCTCAAAGGATATGTTCACCTCAGGCTGGTCTCAAACTCAGGACCCTCCAGCTTAAGCCTCCCAAGTGCTACGATTACACATGTGTGTACCACCATGCCTGGTTTTCTTGTTTCCTTTACTACTTAGTACTCTTGCTAACTCCTACTCATCCTTCAAAATTCAGTTTAAATTATCTTCTCTCCTCTATGGAGCATTCTTTAAATTCCCATACTAGATTACACTTACCATACTCTGTATTGTCTAGCTTCAGTTTACCAGAAGACTGAAATCTGTCTCCTCCACAGACTCTATTGAACTCTAATAAGCAGATTTGATAGCCATTTTTGAAACATTAACAAGAACATTTTAACAATGTACAAAAAAAGAAATATTAATCTAATCATCATAGATTTAATCTCTATATCTAATATTGACTTCACTAAAGTCCCTGAGTAGTGTCCTACTTCAAACCTACTATCCTAGCTGGGTATGGCAGTCCATGCATACAATGCCAGCACTCTGGGAGGTTCAACAGAAGGATCACAAATTCATTAACAGCTTGGGCAATTTAATGAGATCCTGCCTCAAATTTTTTTTTAAAAAACGTGTATTTTTTAAAGGGCTAAGGGCATATAGCTCAATTCAAACCACGTACCACAGAAAACAAAAACCTACTAAATTATTACACAAGAACCAAATCATATTAAAGAAAAACAACATTTGAGAAAAGGACTATTTAAAGATTAAAAACTAACAGCATGGAGTAAATTCCAGCCATCAGTTTTACAAACTGACAATACTATTTGGCTTTTTGCTTTCATTATACACGAATATTTTTTTCAAACTTTTGTGTATGGGGGGGGGGGGTCATGGTAAGGATTGAACAACAGGGCCCTGTGCATACAAGGCAAGAGTCACTGCCAGCCCTTCAAACTTTTAAAGTCAGGGCCTTGCTATATTGCCCAGACGGTCCTCAAATGTTTACCATTCTACCTCAGCCTCCTGAACAGCTGGGATGACAGACATGTACCAATGCAAATGGCTTCCAAAACACTATCATCTTTACTACTCCTGAATTCTCTCCTCCAATATTGGGTCCTTATAAAGCTCTCTTGTCCCCCACAAGATTGGGTTCTGTCAGGTCTGAACGCTGTGCCCAAGAGTATCTCATAGTTCCAGACTTTGAAGGTTTTCTCTAATTGGTGGAATCTGCCAGTCAATTAAAAGTTTACCATTCTAGGCAAACGTATACTACATAACAGAAAATAAAAACTAATAAGCATTTTTTAAAAGCTCAATCTTCTAATAATTCAAGAAATGACATTAAAACACCAGGGTAGTTTTTCTTTACGAAATGAATTAAAATTTTTAAATTTCTTAAGATGTAGAAACTCTGAGAATATGAGGCAACAGTTACCCATGTATACTACAGAATATATGTGTACCTACGAATCTAGGTATCTAATCAAAACATATTTCACTCACATGCATAAAGGATACATGCAAGGGTATTCAGTACAGCACAATGTAACAGGAAAAACTGGAAAAGCTCATATATTCATCAAGAGGAATTAATCAGTATATCCTTAATCATATATACTGAGAATGAGATGGACGTAAGAATATCAGCCTGGATAGGCTGAATATCAGGAAAGGCTTAAGTTATTCATGTGGGGAAAATAGTTGACCCCATTTTTGTTTCAAATATACCATATATTTATCACACCTAATATGCTACAGATTTCAATACATCTTCATTCTTTGTCACTGATAAACGAAATAATGCTGCCAAATAAAAGGATACCCTTGATCCCAATCAAGGGTCATCTCAACTTCAGAAACATAAATTATAAAAGGTCTATCTTAAGACTTAATGAAATATACTATAAAGACATAATCATAGCTACTCATAAATGTGTATGTATACAAACAAAATAAAATTAGAAATTAGGCAGTACATATCAACCGTCTGGAAAGTATATTCACGGATAATTTTTCATACTTTATATTCACTCAACCATGTTTCTTAGGTACTGAAAAATACCTAGGTGCAGGAAAAATAATAATATCCAATACAGGTAAAGTTCCTGCCCTTCAGGTATTATTCTAGTTCAGGTAAGAAAACAGGAAACAAAATCAAGAACCATGTAATAATTAAATAAAGCCACTTTAAGAAGTGCTTTTAAGCACATCAACTAGAAACCACTCCAATTACACATTCAGGAATTATAAGCCTTTCTTGAGAGCTTGCTTCAAGGTTCTAGCAGGGGACCACAGCTACTCTATACCCTTGACCTCCTTTATTGGGAGTGGTCACTCTGTTCGACCAATCACGCAGCTTCAGGAGGGAGGCACATGGAGCATTGAGGAAGGAAGGGATCATTCACCTAGCCAGCCAGAACAGCTGAATCAACTTCTGGGGATCAGGAGGTTTGCCCTCACATTACAGAAAGGCCTTTCTAACACGATGTGCTTTTCTGCTGAATAAGGTGATACTAGATAGGTAAACATAAAAGTTAGGGACGAAGACTATTTCAGGTGAAAGTAACAACTACAAAGGCCCGAAGGCAAGAAATAGGTTTGTACTTTCAAAGAACTATTTATCTATTACTCCATCTCAATCAACTATTGATTCCACCCACTTAAATATACAGTTATTAGCTCTTGTATCATGCAAAAGAGTTTCCTGCTATGGCAACCACTGCAATACTACAAATATTATCTTTCCACATTTATTATATTCTGATTTTGAACATCTCAGACACCTGTAAAGTGACTAAAATTTTTATTGTTCTCCAAAGAAGCATTAAATAGTATTAGCTAAAATGTGACTTGCAGGAAAAACTAAGGAACAAAAACAGGTTATTGGTAAAACAGTGTAGAATTAACACTGAATCCAAGCAACGTGCGAGCTCTCTGCAGTCACAGCCTCATTTTCTACTCAGAACAACCTTATGCACACTATTAGCTCTATTTTATGGATGAGTAAACAGCCATAAAGAGGTTAAGTAAGTTGGCCAAGGCTGTCATATTAGAACAGGGCTCAAATCTGATTTGTGCTGTTAACAGTGTATTATGGTACACTAAATTGTTCCTTAAAATTCCAGTGACTCTGTAAGAACTCTGGAAAAGCTATTACTAACCTCTGGACCTTCACTGCAAACTAAAAATATTAAAGAAAGACATAGGAATACTAACTTGAACAAATCATCTAATGTATTGTGTCATGATTTGCATCAGCTGGACTCCTGATAATGTTTCTTTGCTCAAATTTTGCAATATATTAACGCGGAATCTTTGTTTGCAAATCTTCCTCCCTATTTAAGAATGATGCAACTGAGAAGTTTGAGGCATTATTAATTAGCATTTGGCTAAAGCAAATAGTTAGGTTTGACAGTGTCCATATAAATATACCTCATATAGCAAGTTACAAACTCACACTCATTTTTTTTTTTAAATGATGAATGACATATTCTATTATCCTTATTTTAGGGACCCAGCAGCCCACTTGGTTGATTTTATTCATGGGTTGGGACCTACATAGTATTTGAAAATAAACAACACACAGAACCTAAGGCCCATGGCTTTAAGATCCCTTTTCATTATCTTCTTGGTTCTGAAATATTTTCTATATGTGTCTGACATGAAAATCACTTAACTAGAGGATTTTGGAAGAGTACACCAATCCTGCTCTACACAAAGGGAGGAAGGAGGGAGAGAGACAAAAGAGAAGTGGGTAGTAATCAAATAGGAAATCAAAATATCATCAATTTGTCTATTGGCAGTACTGGTTATTGAGTCCAGGGCCCTCATATTGAGCTACATTCTCAGTCCTTTTTCATAATTTTTATTTTTTATGAATTTTGAAACAGTCTTGCTAAATTGCTAAATTGCCCAGGCTGGGCTTGAATTTATGATCTTCCTGCCTCACCCTCCCAGAAGGTTGAGATTACAGGTGCACTCCAAAGAAGCCTGGCTCAAAATACTTTAACCTCGGTTACTGCTAGGTACCTCAAAGAACAACATTCTTTACTAAGTAGATGAGAATACTATCCTTTAACTCAGAGTCTAAGCAGATGACGTCTTTCCCCACAAAGCCCAAACCCAAATTTTACGAAATAGCTCGGATTACAGGCTTGTGCCACCATACTGGGCTTCAAACACTTTTCTAAGGTGTAGAACCCAAGATTATTAAGCATCACCAGAGATTCAGTCTCCTCTCCTCTCCGTGTTTTCATTTCTTTTCCTGTTTTGTTTTTTTCAGTCCTGGAGATGGAACACAGGGCCTTACCCATATTAGGCAAGCATTCTACCACTGAGCCACACCCCAACCCCCTTTGCATATTTTACTCTTAGGGGGCAAGGAAAGAGGAAGCAGAACTGCAAAAATCCGGCCCAATTTGAGTACTTTCTCCTTTTACTGGAAAGGAGTATCAGGAAACACAGGAAAGTCAGAAAGAAAATGTTTCCATCCTGTGGCAGGGATAATGTCTTCAGGAGGAATTTCAAGAAAATTACTAGGTTACAAGGGATAAAATGTTTAAGATTCTTGCTACCTTTTACAAAATTTCCACTGTGGAAGGTAACACTACTTTAAGCAGAAGGATGACTATCTATCTGCAGTTTTCAGTGTTTCCAGGCAGGGTGATAATATCTCTTCCCAGGGGTCATATCTTCTTTTACTACTCAGTAATTCTGTAGGTGTCTCCTCACCAAAGACTACCTTTCTTTTCCTTTTTTTTAAAAAAGGTAGTTATATTTCTTTACAAGTAGTTTCTCAGAAACTGTACTTTTTTGTTACCACTTTGAATCTAATCTTTTAAAACTGTTAGTTAATACTGTTGACAGAACTGTATTTATGGTACTTTTCACATCCAGCCACTTCAAACAACTATATTTAAAATTTTCCAACTGATATTCTTTGCCTTTCTTTGCCTTCTTTTCCAGCAAATAGTGTCTAGCAGCCTTAACTTATGGTTAAAATGTAAGAACTATGGCATAACCTATCTTTTTACAAAGTCACCTTTTATAATCAGTTTAAAATAAGCTATCAAAGTATCAAGTTATCTCTTTCACAACTGTAGACAAGAATGGTATTTAATTGTTCATGCTCCATCCAAGTCTTTTGATAAATCTTGTTTTTAAAGTAGTATGTTCTTTAACAGGGGTGTCTACCACCTGTTAAAAATGTAATACAAGACATAAAAACTTTTTTAAAAGACAAAGGATTCTATTTACAACAGATGAGACTCAATTGTCATAGACTACTACATCCCAGTTCTTCCAACTGAAAATCAATACTTCTTATCTCGTCCTTGTGAGTCTAAAACAAAAACTAATCTATTTCTTACACACACTCATGATATTTGATATTAGTAAGTTTCAGTATTCAACTGTGTGACACAGCAGAAAAACCAATGAACAACAAATCAAAAGACTTGGATTATTCTAATCCTGCCTCAGACACCAGACTTCATACAAATTACTGTTCTTAAAAAGCAGCAGCAGCCGCCGCCGCCACCACCAGCCCTCTTGCCTTGAATTAAAGTCTGTACTGTCTTTAAAATGATGATCCTTTGATAGCAAGTGGGTCACATCTGATTTACAGTAAGCTTATTTGCCTACAAACTAATTTTTACTAACTTGAGATAATGTTTTGATTAACATTAATCAAGATTTAAAACTCCTGTTACTTCTGAACCAATTTGAGGGGGAGGGATACCAGGGATCGAACTCAGAACCTTGTACTTGCCAGGCAGGCATTTATGCCACTAAGCTAAATCCCTGGCCCTCCTGTTACTTCTGAATTGAGACTTTACAGAAAATGTAAAGGGAGAAGGCAAGACCAAAAAGAAAGTGAAATAAAAATAAATAATCTTTTAAAAAGACAGAGACAGAGGTATAGCTCTGTGCAGAAGGCCTTGGGTTTAATCTCCAGCACACCCTGCCTCACCCCTCACCCCATACCAATTAGCAACAAACTACCAAGGGCACCTTTTCCAAGGATAAATGTGTATTAAAGCAACTACTCACCCTGGAAGCATCATCTAAACAACAAATATTCTTGAGTACCTATCACTTGAAGGGATAAAGACATTTTTTACTTTTGAGAGTTATTTAACCTAATAACCAAAATAAGATAATCAAAAGAATTCTAGATAAAAAATCTAAATAAATTAGGATACAGCAAGAAATATTTGAAAATTTAGCAAAATAAATTTGGAATTTTTGTACATTTTACTACTTACTCCATCAATAAGAATCCCTTTCCACTAGAATTTCTGCCATTGTGACAAACCCATCAGAGTATTCACTGCAGAAATAAGTAAAAGGAATAGGTTTATTTTTTAGGCAAGCAAAGTAAAAGATAAATTACTGTATTTTATGTTTAATCTTACTAAAGTTGAACTGAGAAGAAATAAAACGTCAAGCTTTTGAATCACATATAGAAAGAAGTTATAATTACTTTTCAAAATCTCTACGAGGCACCAAATATGCCTCTTGCTTAAGTATTATTTTATACTCTCAGGCAAGAAAGGAAAGAAAGAATTAGCCCCGTGTAGTGGCACAAGCCTATAATTTCAGCACTCAGAAGGCTGAGGCAGAAAGATCCAAAGTTGAAGACCAGCATGGACTATAAGAGCTTGACCCTGTCTCAAAATAAAAAAGAAAACACATTTATTCAGCACCTACACATATTCACATTTTACTCTTTCATTTAATAATTGCAATTTTGTTAAATAAAACTATATCCATTTTACAAAATAATTGTCATAAACTAAGTAATTTTCCTGTGACTTCACAGCTATTTTTCTTCTCTTTTTTAATGTTTACATGTTATCATTGCATCTTGCCACCTTTAGAAAGATCCAGAAATACTTCATCCATGTGAATCATGATCATGTACTTAGTAAAAGTGGTGAATTTTTTAAAAATTAAATACATGATAAGAATAAACTGTTCGGAGCTGGGAATTTAGCTCAGCGGCATCAGCGCCTGCCTTGCAAGTGTGCGGTCATGAGTTCGATCCCTGATACCGATAAAAAAAAAAAAAAGAATAAACTGTTCAAAAGGCTTCAAATACTAAAAGGGAGCAAAGAGTAGAACTATGACTATTTGAGGGTAATCAGCAAAGCAGTTTCAATAGAAAACCCTATCATGGTATATAAAAACTAAATCATAGTTAAGATTTTAGAATATTTGAAAAACCAGCACAACTACACTGGGGAGCTTATATTCTTCAAAACCACAGGACAATACAGAATATAGACTCTGTTTTCTGTAAGTCCTTCAAGCGCCAGTCATCTATTACCTAAGGTAAAATTAACGTTTTTTCACTAGTCATGACCACATAACTCTATTTTAAAAATCTGATACCTAGGTTCATAAAATTGAATCTAAAATCTTTAACCAGATGTTCAAAGCCTTTCAACAGTCAAGTCCTAACCTGCTGTAACTTATTCTCCATCTACTTCTATATGTTCTCTTTGTTACAGTAAAACAATCTAGCTCACCAGGATATGCTTTGGGCTTCCTTGCTACCTGAAAGCTCAACATGTCTCTCTCTCTTTCTTGCTTTTCTCTATTTGCTGCAATCTCATCAGTCCCTCAAGATGCACACAGTTCACAAACTAACAGTCAGATACTATTTGAGTTTTAAATCTTCATACCATTGTATTTGTACTGTTTTATGGTACTTATAGTTTATTATGTTTATAAAAACTTAGGTAACTACTTATTCTCAGTTGATTTGGAGGTTCCTGAAAACAAGAATGTTATATGGTACAACTTTGTATTTCAAAGAGCATCTACAAAAGTATACATGGCATCAGTGTACACTGAGTTGAATATTAGCAGTTAGAAATGACAGCAGCTTCAAAAATCTGGAGTTTGCTAAAAAAAAATGTAAGATTTCACTACAAATCTGTTAATTTTCACACACACAAAAAAAAATCAGGAACTACACTCACTACAAATCTGTTAATTTTCACACACAAAAAAAAAACAGGAACTACACCATACACATCAACTGCTTTACTAGATACAGATTTTTAAATCACAAGCAAATGTAGTCCTTTAACTACACTTTTTATTTTTATCTTATTTGTGTGTGTAATAGGGAGGGTCACATTGCATTTCAGGCTGGTCCTGAACTCACTACATAGCCCAAGCTAGCTTCAAACTTGCTGTGATCCTCCTGCCTCAGCCTCTCAACTGCTGGGATTATAGGCATCAAGCCCAGCATTCATTTAACTATATCTAATTATAAATTAAGTATTGAGCACGGCAAAGCCTGTTTAAAAAAAAAAAACTCAAATCTGATGATAAAAGACTTTTCTCTCTCCAAAACCACAGCTGTTCAGCTAGTAAATAAAAAATAAGTGCATCATCAACAAAATTCAGATTTTAAAAACTGCATCATTTGAAAAAGTATTTGTATAAAGGCAGTTGAACAATGCTAACAGCTGTAAAATAAACACTGTACCACACTTGAAAAATGAAGCTCCATTAAAACACTAGTGTTGGGGGCTGGGGATTTAGCTCAGCAGCATAAGCGCCTGCCTTGCAAGTGTGTACTGATAAAAAAGAAAAAGACAAAAAAAAACACTACTGTTGGAACTGGTCATTCCATCACAACCCTAACAAATTTTCTTTAGTATCATTCAAAATAGTTTCAATCTGCTCAGTACATTCTAAACTTTAGGCCTGATATGAAAAAAGAATGAAGCTGACACTAGGAATTAAGATACATACCACAAGTTTTAATATAAAGCACAATGAAGTTACGTGTTATAATAAAAATAGCAACAATCTTAGGCAGCAGAAAAAGGAAAGAGTAAGAGTGGCACACGGGGCATATAACATCTGAACATCTGAAAGAGTGAGTGAAACTTTGAAAGACAAAAACTTGGTAAATAAAGGGACAGTGCAGTGAAAGTAAAACGTGCTAAAGCAGAATTCACTTATCAAGTTATCATAAAAGTAGAAGAGAAAGTAATGAACAGTCTGAAGCTTGAAACAGAACTAGAATAAATTCAAATGCAGAATTACAATAACGATATAAAGAACAAAATTAAAATTAATCCCCTGATTTTTAGTCTAAGTAATATGACAGCAAATAAAACAAATAATTTTCAATGCACATTTCAAGTACCCAAACATTTACTGTACTGACCAATTACTCTGTGCAAAGCAGTATTAAAGTCTGATACGTAAGTACATTTAATTCATGCATTTCTATAGGAAGACAATGACAGGTGTAAATAAGAAAATAAGAGCTTTGGTACCTCTCTGTAAGAGGCTAAGAACTAAAGAATATGATTAACTCAAATCAGTGCACTCTAAAATAGCAGAGGTCAAACTAAAACAACCATTTAATTTAAAAAGAGTGATGAAAGTCCTAGGCCAAAGGACTTGACTACAGTTGACTGGTGATGTAATTTTAACTAAGTGAGATATCTAGGACCCAATCTTTTTTTCTTTCTTTCTTTCTTTTTATCGCTAGGGGGGATTGAACTCACAACCACCTGCTTGCAAGGCAGGTGCTTATGCCGCTGAGCTAAATCCCCCGTTCCTAGGGGCCAATCTTAAGGAAGTACGAATGCAAGGGTCTTGAACCAAAATGAGCCGGGTTACAATATTTGGCACAAGTCAAGGCAGATGATGATACATAATCTATTACCCAGAGAGATCAGGCTGGATGTGGCAAGGCCAGGAGAAGGTATGGTAGTGGAATAAAACTTTGGTATAAGACGGTAACAAACTGCAAAATAAACATCAGATTAAAGAGTTTAGATTTTATTATACAGGCAACAGAAGACAAAAGTTTTTAAATAGGAAAGCATTAACCAATACACAGAAGCAGTACACAGGAAAGAAAGAATATAAGGAAGCAGCTTGATGGCAAAGAGACCAACCAGTCAGGAGTATTACAGCAGTCTCCAAATGGAAGATAACAAAAGCCTGAAACACAATTGGCAGCAAAAATGAAAAGGGAAGGATGAAAATAAGAAAGATCACTGAGGAATAGCAGAGAAGATTTATGAACTAACTGAATATGTGGATGAAATAAAACTGAAGTGTGAGTACCACTGGATGGATACCTTGACGAGAAGTTGTTATTCTGAGACACACTTCTTTTGAAACCCTTCATTAGTGAGTTCAAAGTCAGCCTCAACTACATGGTGAGATTCTGTCGCAAGAAACCAAAAAAAAAAGACAGTCATCTTTGAGACGGAGATGCCCAGCTAAGTAAAGAGTTCCAGGACATAGAGATTTGCTATCATCTACCTAGAGATGTTAGTCTGTGGAAGACACAGGATGCTAAACTTGGGGGCCAAACCTAGTTTAAAAACAGGAGAACTAAAGGAGAAAAGAAGGAAAGGAAAAGAAAAAAGATAAATTTGTATATACACACTTAAGATAGCTAAGATGACTGTGGTACTAATTCTGTTAAGTTCTTGGAACAAAACAGTTAACATTCATAGGATCAGATCAATTTTCCATGTTTATATCTGGTAACCTGAGTAACTCTTTTGAAGGTAACTATGCAAACCTCCTTAGTTACGTTCATTCTGTTCATTCTTTTTTGTTCGTACCCCCTTGTTTTGAGGGTCTATACTGTCATTGTTTTGGGCTCTTTGTTGTTATTTGTCTCTTTCATTTCTTTTCTCCTAATTTTTTGTTTTTTGTTTTTGTTTTGTTTTTCCTCTAATACAGAAAGGATAGATGTACATGTATAGGCTTATACATGCCTAGAACTTCATCTAAAGGGTTTGTAAGAATTGATTTTATTACTTGTGATATGAACAGCTACTTTGAAGAAAACAAGACATTACAGTAGCCATTGCTATTTCCTATCATCTTGTTGTGAAGTCCAGTAATGCTTTTATTCTTTGTTTTGACTGCTTTTAGTCTGTTTTATATTATTTAATTTCAATATGTGTGAAGGTACGGACAACTATTCTGAAGAGAATAAAAGATGCTATGGTAGCCACTGTTGATTTTCCTATTGTCTGGTTTTGAAGGCCTGTAACACTCATTGTTTTGTTTTGATGGGTTTTATACTATTTTGTCTTGCTTGAATTCATTATGTGTGAAGATATGGACAACTACTTCAAAGAAAACAAGAGACATTATGGTAACCAGTGTTCATTTCCTATTGTCCTGTTTTGAAATCCTGTGTTGCTTGCATTGTTCTGTTCTGATTTGTTTTATTTTGCTTTTTGTTCTATTCTCTTTAAAATTAAAAAAAAACCTTAAAAGCCAGGAGAACAAAAGGAATTAAGAATAGCATAAAAGAGAGCAAAATGAATCTTTTTAATGTGATTTCACATTTAACATTTATGGCAATAATTTGCCACAAGGTCACACCGAGCAGTAGAACATGGAATATTTGAGGACTAATGGTAATATATGATAAAATATTTTAGAAAGCTTGACCTTTGACACTAATTTTTACCCATGAAAATTTATCTTGGAGAAATAAATGAGGGGAATGGAGAGGGTACTACATATAAATAAAATGCTTTCTGGCATTAATTCTAGTAGTAAAAAAACAAAACCTGAATTTCTAGTCATCAAGGAATAGTTAAATATATTATAGAAAAGTCAACTATCATAAAAGAAAATATTTTACTGTATAAATATTTTAAACATGAAGGAGGAACATTAAAAGTTAAAAATATTTGTAAAATATGGCAAAAGTTCAATACACCCTGCCACACACACACACACAAAGGATTAAACACAGGGCCTATGCAATGACCTACAATCCCAACTTAATTTTTACTTTTATCTAGAAACAGGGTCATGATAAATTGCCCCAGTTGGGTTTGAACATAACAATCTTCCTACCTCAGCCTGTCAAAGTACAGGGATTACAGGTGTGTACCATCACACCCAGCCCACCATTCTTAATATATATGGGCTTCTGCAATTCCATAAGAAAAATAAAAATGTATGTTAAGATACAAATGGCAATTTCAAGACTAGCAAACAGAAAATGCTGGTTTTCATTCATAATTAAAGAAGAATTCAAAATAATATATTATTCACCTCTTTAAAATGTCAAGAAAAATGGGTTCTCATCATCTTGACAGTATTTACACATTTCTATTTCCAACAATATATACGAAAATAGTAGATCAGTGTACAAAGCTATTCATATGAAATTCACTGCAGCTCTGAAAAGCCAAAAACCTAAATATTTAACAACAGAAGGCTAATTAAATATATCATGGCATATCCATGGATTTTCAGGCAGCTTTTAAAAGAACACAGATTAATACTTAATGTGGAAAGCTGTTAAAATATTTTATTAAAAGATTTCTGAACAATACATATAGTATAAACCTGTTTGATTTTTTTAAAAGACTACAGTGTTATATACCAGAAGGTTAGTCCTGGCTATTTTATAATGAACACATAATCTCTCACGACAAAAGAAAAAAGCTCTTAAATTTAGGGACAGCTGGGCATGATGGTACATAGCTGTAATCTCAGCACTGAGAACATTGAATCAAGAGGATTTCTGTGAGTTCGAGGCCAGCCTGGGCTACATAGTGAGTTCATGGCCAGCCCTGACCTACATCCCCCTCCCCCAAAAAAAGAAAAAAATAAACAAATGTGAAAATGTATAGAAAGATGCAAGTAAAATACACTACATGTAAAATTAATAAAAAATATGATGGCTGAATACAAAAACCTTTTGACTGAAACATACGCAAAAAATTAAACAGTTCCACTTCCACACATGAAAAAAAGATGAAGATGATGCAAAGAAAACAGAAAATTCACATCATAAAATCTCAAATATTGCTGAAGGAAACAAGGTCATCTGTTAGCAACTTTAGGAGGATGAAAAGAGAAAATAAGTCAACTTGTAGATGAGTAAAAACAGAAATGAGCTAAAACACAAATATTAGGAAAACAAATACATAACAGTCACCACTGTGTGACGTTCTGGGAGATGAGGGATGGGGACAGAAGTAGAAAAAGTGGTAATATTTACAGGTTAAGGATTGATCAGTTATATCCATCAAAGGTCAAGGAGGAAAGAGTCCCAGCACTTTTTGCTGAGGCAAAAAGATTACAAGTTCCACCAAGATGGGCAAATTTAGCAAGACACTGCTTCAAAATGAAAAAGTAAAAAGGGCTGGGGATGGAGTTCAATATTAATGCCTTGGACTGACTCCCTAGTATAACACCAAAAAAAGAAGAAGAAAAAGGAAGAAGAGGAGGGAAATATGTAATGTGAGTGTGCTAGTATAATTAGAATATAAATTACAGAGATGAAGGTTGAAAAGAAAGCATGGAAGGGACTGGAGATGATAGGACAAAGAACTGCTTCACCAAGTATGATGAAAAACACAAACAGCAAGTGAGCCACAGGAGTTTATTCTAGGTAGAGTGGTTCTGAATGATGACAAGGTTCATAATAGTTATATATATATAGGTTGCGGAAGAGGAAGTGAAGCTCACTGGAGTTTATGAACCCTAGTTTCAAATGTGGCCTTTCTAGCCAGAAATGAATATAACTGTTATTTAATGTACTTCACTGTCTTCACTTGCAATAACATCCTTTATAGAAATTTGGCTGACAGTTAACCTCTACATTTTACTCAACCACAAATACATAGAATAAAAAAGGGGGAGGTAAATCAAAGGATCTTCACCCTCGCTGTAAATCATGAGTGCTAAAAAAAAAAAGGGAGGAGAAGCTAAACTATACTCTGACCCCAAAAATTCTGTTTTGTTTCAGGGTACAGAATAGACGTAAGTAATTTTTAGAAGCTCCTCAGGAAATTCTAATGCCCTGCCAAGTTTGCGAACTGAACTAGGTTATTTCTAAAGGCTACTTCCCTTTTAAAATTTAAAACTGATTCTTCACACCCGGTTCACTTGCTAAAATAATACTATCAGGTGTCAGGCATTTCCACAAACAAAACATCTTAGTAAATCTTTAAACCCCATGATGTAAATACTTCTGTGTCCATTTCACAAATTTCTCCAGTGAAACTTAGAGAAGTGAAGATAACAATCAAAAGCTAGCAATAAGCAGAGGCCAGGATTTTCAGTTTGTTTCATTTGTTCCAGTATGCCCTATACACACTTGTTTTCTTCCTGGTACACTCAAACACCAATCTGAATGCCTTTTATTTTCTTCCCAGGACCTTCCCATATTATGCACACTAGCATATGGCTTACAGACTGACTAGGAGAAACTTATCTTGGGTGAGGGCTGCTGGAAATTAATCCCAAATCCTACAGTTAACAGAGATTTTGCAACTGAAATTAACACCAAAAAAAACCACACCTATTAAGTATTTTTTAATTCAGTTAAGTCAGCACACACATTGCTGTCAGGCAGGCAGCTGAAGTACAAAGCTGGCTCTCAATCAATAGAAAAGCAACTTCTTTTTCTTTTTTTTTGGTACTGGGGATCAAACTCATGACCTTGTACTTACCAGGCAGGCACTTTAGCCACTGAGCTAAATCCCCAGCCTCTAGAAAAGCAACTTCTATATGCCTTCATTAAGCAAAACATTCTAAAACTGTAAGACAGTTCTGGCTAGGACAATAAAGAGATTTGTCCTATTAAAGGGTCTAAAAACATAAAAATGATCCTTTAAAATATTAAAGCATTAATATTTCTATGAAAGTGGAAAGTTTCAGTCACACTTTAAATTAATAATAATCCTTTTGGTGATCTGTGGCCACTCTTCATTCACCAGTGATTAAATACTTCAGCCCACTGATTTACTTGGAAATTTCATAAATATTCAAGTTCTGCACACTTAGGCCAAAATTCATTCAGTTATGAAGGTAAATTCTGAGGGGATAAACCAGTGCATTAATGGAAAACTTAATAGAAGAGATTTAACCACTGCACCTATGGAATTTATAATAAATTCATGAAACATATTTACAAGACACAAACACGTGTGCTCATCTATTCAAATCTTTCCTGAGCATCTGTTATGTTCTCAGCTTGTTAGGGATGAGGAGGCAAATCAGAAACAATGTGATGCCTGCTGTCAATCAAGGAGGTGTCATTACCAATCTGTACAGTGCTTTTAGTTGAATCCATTTCTGAGGAGAGAAAGGGAGTGCAATAGAAGATGAGGTGGAAATATTTTAACTAGTATACGTTAAAGTGAGTATTTTAAGAATTAAAAACTTTAGGGCCAGGGATTTAGCTCAAGTGGTGTAAGTGCCTGCCTGGCAAGCACTAGGTCGTGAGTTCGATCCCCAGTACCAAAAAACTTTACTACAAAACCCCTTCTAAATCAGGTCTCCAGGAAACATACTTAACAGCTAAATTCAAACCTGAAAGAGCAGCGTTAAGAACAAACAAGACAGCTCCACGGAAATGAGTTATAAACAAACTTACACAACAGGGACAATGAAAATTTTTCAGTCATAAGAACTCAAGTTCAATACCAGCTTTGCTGCTAAATTTGTTAAATTAGGTCAGTTCAACTCTTAACTCTTGGTCAACAAAAAAAAGTATGTTGAAGGCAACTAAAACAAGGCGCTCTTAAGAACTAAGGAAACTGGTAGTCAATACTAAGCAAAAGGTGTATGTTTACCTATGATGGAGTAAAAACAGAAGTTCTCCAAGACTTGGTTTACAATTTACTGTATTTGTGGTTCAGAGCCCTTTCACCACACTTTACAAACTTTAAGGTTAAGTGCCTCTGTTTAAAAATGAATTTATATTCATTTGCTTGGTAGTTCACGCTGAATTCTTAGTCAGTATACCAGTTTTGTTTTTTGAGGCGATTACAAGTGCTTTCCAAACAGGTAACGTAATACTGTTCACCTCCCAGGGCTGTCATGACCCGAAGAGATTAAAATTTTCTATTTTATTAATAGAAATTTGTTAATACTGAATTAACCTGAGGACCCCACGAGCTGCTCCAGCAGAGTTAAAGGGAAATGCTCAGAACAAGGTCAGCAAAAGCACCTTTAAGGAGCCAAAGGGGAAATCTGAAACGTCAAGACCGCTCTGCCTTACTCCTAAGAGAATACGTCCTCAGCCCACGTCTGCGTCTCCAGCTCGCCTTAACCGGCAAAGTGACCGAGTACACAAGACAAGTCGGAGCCGCAGGTCCGCGCGAGGCCGTGGGTCGCGGGGCCCGTTTCCCTCGCTCGCTCCGCCTGCACGCGAGGCTCCTCGGGCTCACGGCCTCTGATTACACTCCGTGCAGAAAAAATAAATTGGACCAAAGACTGAAACTTTAAAAAACCTCCAAGTGACACCGTCGCTTCTTTCAGAGGAAGTCGTGCGGTGCCTTTATTCACCGCTCGCCACAGAAAACCCGCCGCCCGAGTTACAGCCCGGCGTCCCCACAGACGCCAGCGCCGCAAACTTTTCCGACAGAAACGCGTGGCGGCCCAGAGACGCCGCCGGCCGCGTCCAGGACCCCGGCCCGAAGCCCCGGGACTTCTCGCCGCACTCCGGGCGCCGCACCCCGGGCCGACCCTCCCCGCGGCCCCCCGAGGCGGCGGCAACCGGCGACGGGCGCGGCTCCGAGCGCCCGGTTTCTCGCAGACCCCAACATGGCGTCCGCCGCCGCCGCCCGCGCCGACGACACCTCCCCGCGCCGCGGACGGCCCGGGACCGCGGGGGGCGGCGCCGGCGGAGCCCGCCGCATCCTCCCCGCCGCCGGCCGCCCGCGGACCACCAACCCGCCCGCACCTACCCCGCCGGGCGCGGGCAGCGGCAGCGGCTGCGGCGCCGAAGGTCCGAGTGCTCCTGGTCGCAGACGCCGGGCGCGGCTTAGCCCGTCCGCAGCCCCGGCCTCGCAGGGTGTGTACGGCTGTGGCCCCGCGCAGCCAGCGGGATCCGGACGCGGCCGGCCCCCGGCTCCGCCGCTCGCAGGTGACGCCCCCGCCCCTCGGGTCGAAGCCCACAACGGCCACCAGGGCGGGCCTCTCTGCGCGCGCACGGACAAGCCCCAGCCCACACGCCGGGCGCGGGCGCAGGCACGAGAGCAGGCGAACCACCCCGCGCGCTCCCCGCCCCTTCTCCCCTCCCTCGCCCCGCCCTCCCGTCCCGCGCGTCGCGCTCGGGGGCGGGGCCCGGGGGAGGCCGCGCCCACCTGCGCAGCCCTGGGGGCGGGGAGGGGGTTCCCCTGGCTTAATTGCGGTGACGCGATCAAGGAGCTGTGGGCAGCGCGTGGGGCGCAGCTCCTAGCTGCCGGCTTGGGGAAGTCCTTGGAAAAGACACTATTCAGCTGTCAGCAAAGTTCTCGGCAACACTGGAAAAATGAAAGGAAATCCCGCCGGGTGTGGTAGTGCACTCGGGAGGCTGAGACAAGAGGATCATTGCGAGTTCTAGGCCAGCCTGGGCTAGAGTCAGCTCGAGGTCAGTCGGAACCGTACAGCGAGTCCTTGTCTTTAAATTAAAAAAAAAAAAAAAAATCAGGCAGGCTTTGTTTGGATTTCGGTGCCCAAAGGTATCAGTTTAAACAATTTGCTAGCTCTGAGTTGCAGCAAGACGCCCCTGTCTACCTGTCATGTGTCGCTTTGTTTTCCCTAAAGCTTCTACTTCCTCGTCCCCACGTGCTTTCTTTTAAGTGCATCCCTCAGAATTCTGGTCTCTCCCATATTTCTTTGGCGACAGGAGACCTCAGATGACCTAGCTCATACACCTAGAAGCTGTGGTCACAGTGCAACGTACAATGTTAAATGTGCCCTCCTTCGTTTACACCGAAACCCGTTTGCTAAACGCTGTAGACACTGTGCCAAGAGATCAAAGATACTAGGGATAGCCAAGCAATGGGGATAGAAAAGAGTGGCATATACTTTTAAACCAAAATGTGTGTGGAGGTGGAAGTGGAGTTTGCTCAATTTTGTATTTCCAGGAGTTTTAAAACTTTTGATTACTGTGGTAATAGAGCCACTACCAACCAAGCAGCGCGCCTAGAGCGCTAAAGGGAAAGAAGCAGGCAGGTTCCAGTTCTGCCTGTTTTCCACCTGCACTTCCGCCTACAGTTCTCCAAGCTTTCTGTTTCCCATCCTCCCCTATTTCAATGCCTCTGAAACCAACTAAATTTTAGCTATAGCTAGAGCAAAATGGGCAAACATGAACCATTTAATAGGAAAAGTTATAGGATCATGATCTTTATGTGTGTTAGCTCTAAGCTGTCTCTGTAGGCACGCTCAAATGTTTCACTGTCACCCTACTCCATCTTCACTCAGCCTTACCCTTAGTGGCATGAACACCAGTCTTTCATGGAAAAAGGGATTGAATTTTTAAAAATATAATTCCCTTAAACTTTGAAATTAGGAATTGGTATAGTTGATTGGTTTCCCAAGGTCTGATGTAAAGCATTAGTCATATTTAGTCACCCACAGATATCAACAAGACTGTTGCCCTCTGCCAAATACACTTTTTAGCACAGTACAGTGCATAGGTCAAGCCAGAATTACTGTACCCAAAATCTTGGCTTTGCCACCAACTATGTTTCCTTGGGTATCTCCAAGTATTATCTTACTTTCTCCATTTGTAAAATACACTGGTAAAAATATCTGCCCCATAGCATCCTTATGAAAATTAAATAAATTAGTATTTGTGAAGTACACTCCTACATGTTAAGTGCTAGGGAAATGTAAAATTAATTATTTAACATCTATGTAGTATATATGTGTAACGGTTAACACTTACGTTTCCCCAAAGCTTCATGAGATCAGAGATGGGAATGGTAGAAGGTGATTAGATAATGGAGGCTGTACAGCAGTCTTGGTGTGAGGAGATAGAACCTGGTCGGCAGGGGTGGTCACAGGAAGCATGACCTGAAGATATCATGTCTCCCTCCTTGGCTCTGCCCTTTTCTATCTGCTCCCCCACTTCATGATGTGAGCAGTTTCTTGCCTGCTGTACCTCTCTGAGATGCCAGTCAAGGACTGAAACATGGACCAACATAAACCTCTCCTCCTTTAAATTGGGGATATTGGGTATTGTGTTCCAGCCAAGAGGAAAGTGATTAACACAGCATATGTATATGAATATAACTTACTAAAATTTTCCTGTTGGGTATTTAATCCTGTAAAACATGCAAAAAGCCAGGAATAATGATTTAAATACACAGCAGGGTATGTTTTCTATCTGTACTCTACATATTCTGTGCTCTCTCTGGGATGTGTGCTCCATAATTTGAAGACCATTTGTTTAGAGAAGGGCTAACAGAACACTAGCCACATGTCTTTGGGATTTTTTTGTTTTGTTTTGTTTTTGGCACTGGGGATTGAACTCACAACTTCAAGCTTGCCAGGCAGACAGTTATGCCCACTGAGCTAAATCCCTGGCCCACATGTCTCAATTAAAATTTCATTAAGTTAAAATTTTACTTCTTTAGCCACATTGACCATATGACCATTGGACAATGCAGGTAAGTGGGTCTCCAGGATGCAGCAAGGATCTGAAGTGAGAACTGGAGAACACAGGAGAGGAAAGAAAGGGACTGAAATGCAGAAGTGGGTGTGGAAAAGGGCATTTTTTCCTCTTGATCCTAGCTCCCAGTGTGAGAGAAGCAGCTCAAACCTACAGAGGCAGCTAACTGCCGGTGATTCCAGAGGCCTCCACAAAGAAACATTCTAGTGGAATGAAGCAGAAGATGCCATAGAGTGCACTGACTGGTGAGTGATTCAAATCCAATTCACACATCTTCAGGAGAGGGCTACTGGCTGTTGCCATTTGGAAAGGGGCCAGCTGAACTCAGGACTCAGAGCAGCAGAGGATTGGCTCCATCGAGGGGGATTCCAGTGTCAGGGTGAGGTGCAGCCATGGGAGACACCCAGAGTCAGAGAGCCAAGTTTAAACTGGCAGGAGGCACCTGCGGTGTTGTAGACTGAACAACTCAGGTCCCAGTCTCAGAAGGAGAAACCAGGACGAGCCTGAACTTCAGTGGAGACAAAAGAGCAGGCTTGCTGAGATCAACTAACACCCCGCTATAACTCTACAGCAGGCTTGCTGGGATCAACTAACGTGTGTCTGGATACTGTCTGGTCCCTCTGTCTACCAATGACAGCAGAGACATCCTTGAAGTGAACATTTCTTTCTTTGATTTTTTTGCTTGTTATTATTTTTATACACGTATAGACATTGTTCCTAGCTTTATTTCTGTTGTTTTATGCTGTTCTTATTTATGTTTTTTGTTTCCCTCTTGTTTTCTTCACCAGTTTCTCAAATCTTGTATAATCTTCCTCTGTCCCTTAGCCTTTCTTCTAATTTCTTTCTCTTCTTCTATTTCTCTATTTTTTCCTCAGACCCCTTTTTAAATTTCTGCCCTGAAAGTAAAGTCAACATATTTAGGAGACATTAACTGTACATAATTTTCTGTTTTGTTTTAGATGTTGTTAATTGATTATAAAACTTCATTTGGTTAAAGGAGCAAACTAGTAGTTACCAAGGGTTGTCATTTTCTAGGCTATTGTTCCTTATGTTATTGTTATTTTTTTTTAATTTTATTTAAGGAGAAAAAAAACAGAAAAGGGTACAAGTTATACAGAATTTCAAAAAAATAAACAGTAGGAAATCACTAGTTAATAGATTACATATTGTCATCTTAGTTGTTCAAGTTACAAAATTAAATCATATAAAGTGGACATTCAAACAGGGAGACTGCAAACAGTTCTGTTCAATGATCCAACAAAACTCAGTATTATGGTTATCTATCTTATATGCTTAAATATACATGCAGTTATATCCTTTAGAGCACTTTCTTTTCTTCTCTTTTTTACAATGACATTGACACATTTTGGGTTTTATTACTCCCACAGTTCTTATTACTTTTTTTTGAAGAGCATAAAACCAAATGTGACATAACAAAACAGAGTCAGTCAAATCAGAAGGATGGACATAGTACATAATGTAAAAACAGAACACAAAGTGATCAACAATAGTTACCATAATGCCTCTTGCTATCTTAAAAAGAAATGCCTATATCATCAGTTATCATAAAATTGAACAAAACAGTAAAGAACAAAACCAATAAAACCAAAACATTGGAGACATTACAAGACTTCAAAAGAAGATAATAGTCAAACCAGAATGGGCATCATAGTGAATCTTATTGTCTTCACAGTTGCTACTTATACTCTCAACCTTGGTACTATCAAACGAAACAGAATAGAGTAAAAATCAGTGCAAACAAGATGATGAGAGCAATACAGGGCTTCAAATCAAGTTAACAAGAAATCAAAGTGGGTTAATATAATATATCCTGCTATTTTTTATTTATATTTTCCCTTAATTAAAAAGATAAAAATAAAAAATAATAAAAAAGGAGATTGAGATAAAAGAGGACATAACAACAAAACAGCACAGGTCAGAACATAACCATTTAAGCAAAACAGTGTTTCACCACAAGATATCCTGACATAAAAGTAGTTGCCATAGTGTCTCTTTCCTTGAAATTGAGTATAACTTCATATACTGTAGCATTGAACATATCAAGACAATGTAAAACCATTCAATAGAATGACAGTATTACAGGGTATTTAGAACCAACTAACAGAAAATGAAAATAAAAGCTTTTGTTTATATTATCACATATAATAAAATCCAATAAGATACAACATGTTAAGACCGCTGGAGACAGAAGAACAAAAGCTTGATGGAACTTCAAAACAAGATGATATTAAAAAAAAAACAAGATGATATTAAATCAGCATTAGCTATTATGATATCTTATTTTCTCCAAAATAGCTGTTCCTACCATCTCTGCCTCATTTCTGTTGAGCTCTTTTTCTGTCATTACTTGTCAGTTTGTCTTCTTCATTTCACTTTCTGCTCCATTCATTGTGGCCTCTCTGCCACTGTTTCTGGAATCCTGATACTTGTCTCTTTTAGAATGTCCTGCAGTATTCTCTGTAGAGTTGAATTGGTGGTTGCAAATTCCCCTACTTCCTCTTTATCCTGGAAGCACCTTGTTTCTCCCTTAATTTCTAGGGACAATTGTACAGGATATATCACTTTTGGCTGGAAGTTATTGTCTTTCAAAGCTTGAATTATTTCACCCCATGCTCTTGGTGATTTGATGGTTTGTGGCAAGAAGTCTGCTGTAATTCTGATGGGTGTTCCCTTGTAAGTGATCTGTTTCTTGTCTCTGACAGCTTTTCATATTCTGTTCTTATATTGGATTTCTGGAATTTTGATTATTATATGCCTGGGTGTAGTTCTGTTTGGGTTGTAGGTAGCTGGGGTCCTGTATGCCTCATAGATCTGAGTATCTTTACCTTTTCCCATATTAGGGAAGTTCTCCTTGATTATTTCTGTGAATAGCCTTTGCAGTTCATTGGTTTGTGTCCCTGTTTCTTCCTTTACATTCTTAATTCTTAAGTTATAGATCCTCTTGTCATCTTCTAGCCTTTGTATTGTTAATGCTTGTTTCCTTGTTACTTTTAAGAAGTTTTTCCTTTCATGCTCCCACATTACAAATCTGTCCTCCAGTTCAGATAAACTATCCTTTGTTTCTTGTAAGCTGTTATGCCAGCTTTCAATAGAGTTTTTAGTTTCCTGGTAATCTCTTTGAACCTGCTTCATGTATTCTATGTTTTCTCTGTTTTCTTTATCAAACAATTCTCCCCTTTTTTTCTGTTTTCCATTCCACCATCTGTTTTTTCTTGGGAGGTGCTTAGCATTTCTCTAACTATTCTACTTATATCTTGCTTTACTTGGTTAAATACTTCATTTCTGAACTCGTCTATGAGGTCCTGGAGATATTGCTTTATGTCTATTGGTGCCGTGCCTGATATTGTATGTTTTCTGTCCTCATTCTCCTTTGCATTTACCTTTTCTGGATCAGGGTTCTCAGGATTGGGGACTGAGGACCCTTTTTTATTGCTTCCTCTTCCCATACTTTTTGTTCCTTCCATATAAGCATATATAGGAGGCACAGTTTCTTTCTTTGCCAGTTACAGTTTGTTTGAATCCTGCCTGCTAGGTGTTCCCGCCCACTGCAGTGTACTAGGGAGACACAGACCTGGGCAGCCTATGCTGGGCCCGCCCCTCCATGTCAGTTAACCTACTGAAGGCTTCACTGCATTAGGGTACACTGCTAGGCACAGGGACCTGGTTTGGGCTAGCCTACTGGATCTTAGTCTGTGGCGTCACCCAGGTCAAGTGCTCCGCACCAATCCCGCTTGAGAGGGGAATATGTGACTGAAGTCACTGCAGCGTCCTGTTCTGGCTAGTCTGCCCAGAACCGGAATGTCCTCTGTTGGAGCCTCCTCATCTGTAGGAGGGTCCTGGTTCTTCTCACTCACCACAGGTCAATGCAGGGCTCCCTGCCAGCTCTGTTCTCAATTTGGTTCATGGATTCCTGCTCTCAGAGCCTTCACACCTGTGTCCCTGCTGTGCCGATTCAGATGCAGCAGTGGCGGCAGGAAATTCAAGGTGCGGGTTCCAGCTTTGGCACTGAGACTTTAGCTGTTCCAGTCGTAGCACCGGGATGGCATTTCCAGATGGCTTCTCTCAGCTTAGTTCGTTCCTGGGTCGGCAGGGTATATCTCCCCCTGCTTAGGACTCCCCACACCGCACCATCCCTGGAATCCAGAAGTCCCACTGTTGTTATTATTGACTGTACTACTTTAGCCAAGGTGACATAATTGTTCTAATCAGTTCTTCTTCCTTGTATGTCAAGACTGGGATTGTCTGAGGGTCATAAACAATAATATAGGCTGGTACCAAAAATCCAGGGGCTAGGCCAAATAGGCAGCAACTTCTTATCCCCAGTAAATTAGAGATGCAAATGCTGCAACACATTCAAAAGCAAAAAACCAGTTACACCTAGAATAGAAAATGAGAAGACACAAAAGTGAAATGCAACCCCAGACCTCCGCCTTGCCCAAGGCAAATCCAGGGGGCAATAAGATGGAATGGTTTGAAAGCTACCACCCTGAACTCTCTGAAAGGGTAGCAGTGGAAGTAACATAATAAATGAATAAAGATCCAGAAAAAGTCAAGTTAGGAAAAATTTCTCAAATAACTAAAGAGATGATGACTATAATTAAGGACATGGTTAGTGAATCTAGAGTAAATACAGATTAAGAAAATAGAGGAGCTTAGGAAAATGATGGAAACTAGGAATCCCAAATATAGGAATGAAATGGAATCCATGAAACATATTCAAACATTTCCAGGAGATTAACACATTTTTCTAGAAAGTATGCACAGCAGAATCAGCAAATGTGAGGACAGAATATCAGATCTAGAAGACAGATTTGTGGTTACTGATCAAGAAAGGTTTATTTTTAAAAATAGCAAGGGATCATGAAAAATCAACCCAACAACTGCTAGATGATACAAAATGAATAATAAGATTGATCAGAATCAATGAAAAAGCAAGAGATAGTGCAAATGACATACAAAATCTGCTTACAGAAACATTGGCAGAAAACTTCCCAAGCAGGGGGAAAGAATTTGACAACATGTAAGTGAAACATATAGAACTCCAATTAATCATGATCAAGAAAAATCTATACTAAAGTGTTAAATAGTCAAGAGTCTAGAAATTCAACACAAGAACAGAAAAAGAAACAAATCACATATAAAGAAAAGTCCATCAGAATCACAATACTTCATAACCCAAATTCTTGAATTGAGGAGAGCATGCAGTGAAGTATTTCAAGCCCTA